GAGTTGGACCAAAGGGTCTGTTTCTGTGCTATATGGCTCTATGACTATGATCCTGCCTATAACAGGAAGAATTTGCAAACCAGGATCAGAATTTTAAAATCAAGACTAGTTAGCCAACAGAAAATGCAAGGACTTGGTGAAATAGCTGACTTTTGTTTAAATGGAAAGAAAATCCAAATAAGTTCAGCGCAGAGGAATCTGTGTGCTCTTGCACAAAACACGTGCAAATATGGCAGCAAATTAAAAAGGCAAATTGGAATTTTGACCTTTATTAGTGGAAGATTAGAGTTTAAAAATAGGGAAGACTTGTTACAACTGTACAGGGTATTGATGAGGCTGCACCTGCAGTATTGTGTGCATATTTTGTTTAAGAAAGGATGTAGTGGCATTGCAAAGAGAAACGAGTTAAAAAGAGATTCACTTGGCTGATTCTTGGGATGAAGCAGTTGACTTGTCAAGCACAGCTAAACAGGTTAGGTGTCTGTTCATTCGAGTTTAGAAGAGGAGTGATCTTATTGAAACATACTAGATTCTGTCTGGGTTTGACATTGTAGATGTGAGATGGTGTTTCCACAGATTAGAGAGTCTTGAACTGCTGGTCACGGTTACAGAATAAGGGGATACTCGTTTAAAACTGAGGTGTGAAGGGATTTCTTCTCTCAGATAGTAAAGAATGTCTGGAATTCTCTACCCCAGAGAATTGTTAAAGCTAGATCACTGGAAATATTTAAAGAATCGTCATAGAATCAATCGTAGAATCCCTACAGTGTGGAAACAGGCCCTTTGGCCCAACAAGTCCACACCGACTCTCGGAACATCCCACTCAGACCCATCCCCCTATAACCCACCTAATCGACACATCCCTGAACACTATGGGCAATTTAGCATGGCCAGTCCACCTAGCCTGCACATCTTTGGACTGTGGGAGGAAACCGGAGCACCCGGAGGAAACCCACGCAGACACGGGGAGAATGTGCAAACTCCACACAGTCGCCCAAGGGTGAAATCGAACCCAGGTCCCTAGCGCTGTGAGGCAGCAGTGCTAACCACTGAGAAGAGGTAGACAGATTTTTGATATCAAGGAGTTGATGGCTATGAAAGAGGAATTGAAACCTGGGTCATCTCAGCCATGATCCTGTTGAATGGCGGGCATATCTGACGGGCTAAAGGAATGCCTCTTATTCCGTGTTTTTATGTTCTATACTACATAAATAGATGATTTTGTTGTTGGTATGGACATGTTTAGAAACTTATTTTGGGTCAAATATGGCAACGGGGTTGTGAAAAATCTGATTGCGCCTAAGACCGGTTCCACAGAGAGGAATGGACTCAGTGGCTAGGGAATCTAGTTTGTCACAGACCAGAGACATTGGTTTTGGTCTTCATGGTATTTCATCAGACACCATTTCGTCTCAGCCAGTACCTGATGTTGGATACTTAGCTTGACAGTTTAGCAACGGTTGTGAGATTAAGAAGGTCAGTGACAAGGTAAAAATCTGTGTATCATCTGTGGACACTACTGATATCATTGAGAGACAGCAATTGATGAGGAAAAGGGGAGCCGAGGATAGGTGACAACAAGGTGCAGAGCTGGATGAACACAGCAGGCCAAGCAGCATCATAGGAGCAGGAAGGCTGACGTTTCGGGCCTAGACCCTCATCAGA